CTTCGACTGACCCACTGGACACCCCTCTGGTACTTCCTTGCATGTCAACCAGTGCTTGTTGCTGTTTTCTCGCCGTCCGTTAAGAACGAGGAACGCTCCGAAAAATGTGATGCTGTAGATGTAGCAGAAAAGGATGGAGGTGCTGGTGTACAAGCAGAAAGAGCGGACGGAGCGGAAGGGCGTAATGAGGCCGATGTAGAAAGCGAGCACGTCTGTGAGCGTGGTGATGGTGATTGAAATTGCCGCCTCTTTGTATGTATTAGACAGGCGAGTCTCCACTCGATCGTGAACACTGGTCTGCTGCCAACAGGAAATGAGAATGAACATGTCGTCCACTCCGATCCCTATTTAAAACACATATTAAAAAAAAAATCACTGTTTAATCTGCTAATATACATTAATACTGTATACAACTGGCTTTATAGTTATGTTTTACCTAATATCAGGAATGGAGAATTAGCAACTGTCATGACAAATGGGACACCAATGTGTAACATCATCCCAAAAGAGGACAGAACAGCGAGTCCAGCAGAGAACACCCCAAATGTAGCAACCCATGCTTTGTTTCTGACACAGTCAAACCTGGAAAAACAGACAAAATTGATTTTTTTAGGGATTCCTCTCAATTAAATTCAACTATCCATCAGTTCCAACAATTGTCACAGATGTTGTCAATAGACTTTAACATGAACTTAATCATTTTAAAACAAGATTCATTCATTTGTTTTGAATGCAGTTGGGATATGTGGGTTGAACGAATCATTTCTGTTTCCTATACAGAGGCTTTAACATGAAAAATGAATGATGAAAGACTAGGACCAGAAGATGCAGTACGGACTTGAAAAGGTGAACTAATCACTATGCGTAATATATCTTTAGGTGTATTAAAATGATTTCCAAACTTGTAATATGATTAAAGATTGCGTATGTGTACAGGTTTGACGAATTTGATTTAAGATTTGTTCATTTTGCTGAACGAGATTCAGAGATCCAAGCAAATGATCCCATTTCCCCATCACTACTCAGAACATTTTCCAATTTTAAAACAATTCAAATGTAAATGATCAAATGTGGGGTCTGAGAACATGTAAAAACATCTACACAGAAGCCCTGGTAAAATCATGTGCTAGACATTGCACAATACTCTGTCTGGGAAACAGAAAATAGCCTAAATATTCAAGTTAACATACCTCAAACAAGAGAGAATGGAGAATCCAATGGCAATGACATATGTGATGGAGAAGAGAGGAATCACATCCTTTGTGTTTGCCTCAAATTCCACCTGCCTTGACAAAGATGTGGAATGGGTCACCTGAGGAGGCAAATTATAATATTGACAACATCATTTTAGATTTAGCTCAAAAGAATAGTTACAAAAACATTTCTTATTTTAATTAAACAAATGAATGAATATGAAAAGGATGAATAAATTAAACATAAACATTTCCACCAATATTTTCCGGAAAAAAAAGAAAAGAAATTACAGTTTATTTTAGGAAATATTGATCAATAGTGGGAGCATCTTGTCATACCATAAGGGGTAAGTTGTCACAATGAAAACCTGCCGGTAAATAGCTTACTACATACTACAGTATGTACGTATGTATGTATGTATGTATATATATATATATATATATGTGTGGAGTTAATACAGATAGTACAGATAACTATTTTCAAAAATCATGTTTTTTCTTTGCTCATTCCAATTAATCTCAATCAAACTGCACTTGGGTTATTTTGATTAGGTTAAAAAATAACTAAAAATACACCTAACTAACACAATAACACAATAAAAACATGATTTTTGACATTTTAAATTGAAAATGTTTTTGCAAATATATATATATATATTAAACCTTTAAGTATATTAAATAAATATTTTAAGAGCCATATCAACAATAGCCTAGTACATACTAAGGTCACTTGTAAAACCAAGAGCTATTGCAAAATGATATATGGCATGGGATCATAATTTAAGACCAATTAAAACCATGTATTTGAAAACGACGTAAAAACATTGGAATCAAAAACAAGCATTTGTGCAACTTTTCACTCAAAACGTTAAAGCTACTTAATACAGTAGGCCTACAGCCCTTGTGACAACTAGCCCCGATTGCCATCAATAAAGACCTCAAACAGTACATAAATAAAATATAACCTACCTTAATGAAGTTTAGTGATAAATTAGAGGGAAAAACCTTTAGGAATTCATTCAGCCATAAATCTGTTCTGGAGCGATTATCCTCCTTTAGGAAATAAAACAGGCGCACTGCTTTTGCACTTTTAATAACAGAAGAGTTTATATTCACTCCACCAACCGAATAGCCCAGGAAAATGTACGAGAATCCAAAACGAAAGAAGGGAAAGGTGAGCTCGGTCGTTTCTAAAATATTACCATAATATTTGTAAATGTCCAATATCTTATTGTGTATGCATTTCTTGTATCGTCTTGCGCAAAGTCCCTCAAAAGTGAGCACCTCGTGACCCATGGACACATTCAGCTCCTTGACCTTTCTGTCTAAAGTTACTATCTCCTGAAAGGCAGCGTCTGTGAGGATGTTGGAGGATCTTGCCACCGCTATGAAGGACGCGTAAACTCCATCCGTGTAGAGTCTCTGCTTGGAGAACACCGAGTCGTTCTGCGGAAAGTTCTGCTGCACGAACTGCCTCTCCAGTTTGGCAGGACCGTTCACAGGTGTGAACTGATCCTCAATGTCATTGGCCTCGCGATCTTCTAAGAAATAAAACCCACTTCCCAACACCGCAGAGATGAACAGAGGAGAGATGAAGAACCACCACGGGTAAGTTCCCACAAAGCGGCCGAACTTCTGGAAGCAGATGGAGATCGGCTTCTCCACGCAGTCTGTGGTGCATCCAGCCATGTTTACCGGCATTTTGGAAAGATTAAAAGTTTAGTGGGGAAAAGGCTGTGCTAAATAAATTAGACTAACGTAAACGTAACTTTCTCTGTATCTGGATTGTGTCTGAAGCATTTAAAGTTTAAATTAGCTAAACTAGTTAAAAGTTGATTTAGAAAGAGCTTCATAATGAAAATCTACAGGGAACAAGCTGAGAGCGACCACTCACGGGCACATACAGCAAATTATATTTAGACTGACAAAATAACCCCAAAGCCATATTACCCAAAATGTTTGAAGTATGCTTCAATTAAACATAATGCATGAATGATAAAATTATGCATAAAAAATACATTATTTAACAGTTATATTATTTTATTAGTAAAATTAATTATTTAGCACTTATATTATTTTATTAAAATATTATTATATGTACACATATTTTATATTTATGTATATTGTCTAAAATGTTTGAAGTATGCTTCAATTAAACCTGATGCATGAATGATTAAATTATGCATAATAAAATACCATTATTTAGCAGTTATATTATTTTATTAAAATCTTATTATATATAAATATGTACATATATATATATACACACACACACAAAATACCATTTCTAACCATTCTATATTTCAATTATAAATATATTAATATTTATATATCATTAATATGTGATAATTTAGCATTAATGAAATGATATTTGTTCAAGTTATTGTTATAGTGTTTCTACAACTTTTAATAATCAGTCACATCATCTGATCTGTTTTTAATAAAAAGCTTAATTTCTTGCTGGTTTATTGAATTAATGCAGATTTGTTTACAACCCACACAAATAATGTATATTTGAAAAGAGTTCCCAGCAATTATAAATAAAGATTCTTTAATGATTTGTTGCAGTTAATCAGATTCAGCAAACAGTCCTCTTAATCAAAAAAGTTTGGTGTACAGGGCTGAGATGGCTTTATGGTTCTTTGGATATTAAAAACGTTTTTGAAGTCACATTATATATTCTTCAGATACGTGTATTGCTTTCTGGAGTCTTTAAATAATCATATATGGTTTTCTAAACATCTAGAAAAGTAAATGGTTCATCAGGCTGTAAAAACAAGTGGTTCTAATTGGAATGAATAACAGACTAACATTTCTGAATATAATAAACTATATTTTAGAAATATAGACCAATTGATTTAGGACTTACGTCGCGGTTTCTGCTCATTTTGCTCCATCAGGACAGAAGATGTGAGGAGAGAATGACATGCAAGTTCATTACTGAACACAAGGCTCCATTCATGCCTTTCAGTTACCTCAGTGCTTAATTACCCCAACAAAAATGGCTTCGACTCTCATAGCGCTTGTGATTTGCCATGAGGAGATAATTGAGGGCCTCAAATTATTACCGCACAACTGATACTGCTCTTGTATTTTACAACATCAAAGAGTAGCCTACTTGGAACATATCCAAAGACATCTGTTTGGTTGAAGTAATTTCTTTAGTATTTTTGAATTTAACAACTGCTTTAGTTTTTCTTTTTCTTTTTAGACATAAGAATTGACAGGCCTTGTCAGTTTTTGTTGTGAACTAGATGGGGCTACTGACTTTTTTTCTATGTTCTCCTGCATCACACTATATTGGGCAATGAGTTGTTGTCATGGTGATCGGGTCAGGGTGAGAGCAGTGATGAGAGATTGTCATGGCAACTGAGTCTGAGAGAGAGCAGATCTGGGTTGCAGTGCTAGCATCTTTGACTTCAACTGTTTCGTGTGTGTGTGTGTGTCTTTATTGTATCATACTATTTTTGACTTGTACTTGACTATTTATTTATTCTACATGTACCCTCGTGTTTCCAATGAAGTCTATCCTATTTTCCTTATATTTTAAATATATTTTGGAATAAATTGAAGAATCTTTAAAATAATAATAATAATTTATGAATGAAAAAATGAATTATATTGTATTATGATTTTTCTCCAATTCTTTATCTTTTCCTTTGGACAAACAAACACTACATAAAAGTACAATATCCAAATATATATATATATATATATATATATACTGTATATAAAATAATAAATACAATAATATATATAAGACAAATATAAACAAATATATGTAAAATATTATTTAATTTGTATTTCTTTTTAATTCTCTTCTCCTTGGGTCATACAAAACTCAAAATTAAAACCAGGATACAAAATTGTAAATGTATCCAAAAATATTCACATATACCCAGTTCTTTTTTTTTTCAAGCGCCTGAATCTGGCATTTACTTCTTATATCCTTTAGTGCATAAATATGTACCTGTATTATACAAAAAATGAACTCACTTAAACAACCTGAGACCGAAATCTACAAAATGTAATATTTAAATCTCACATCACGTATAAAATATATCACATTTGGTTATATTTAGTGATCTTTTATGCTAGTGTGTTTAATACGAACTATTAGTATTTCTGATTTTGACAGTAGATGGGCCAATCTCAGGCAGACTGCAGTAAAACTTGGGACTCATCAGGAAGAGAGATGCGTTTTCACTCCCATGTGATGCTGAGCATCTTACAGCTGAGTTCCCAGAGGCGCTGGGCCACCTCATCATCCATGGCAGCCTGGGAGCATTTTGCAGGTGCGCAGTCACTGCGTGGAGAGCAGGAGACAGGTGAGTATGAGATAAGATAGTCTAACAGACCATTGAAACATGCCTGAACTGTTGCAGATGGTTTCATAAAACACCATGACGTCATACACAAAAGTTTATCAGCAATAATTGAATGCTGAATGATAATAATATCGAATAGAAAGACAACAGAACATGACCTATTAAAACTGTGTATATTTATGGTGTACTTTGTGTAGATAGAGTCTGGGTAGGTGTGATATTGTAAGCTCTACTGTAAATCAGGTATAACCTACAGTTGTCCTGGGATTGAGATGAAATCCACTGACCTGTAATATTTGCCGCTCTCTGTCTCCAGTTCAGGGGCCACGGCGCAGTAGATGGTGGTCTGAGCTCCCTGCACAGATGTTTTGGTGAAGGGCTTTGCTAACCACATGACGGCTTGTTGAGGTTTATTCAAGTGCCTCCACAGTTCTGTCTGAACCACTCCAGGATGAAGAGCATACGCTGTGACTCCAGTACCTGAGACTCACGCCACACAAAGAGCAGATGAGAAGGATTATTAGGATTATTTTAGCATCAGGTATTTTATTAGAATAGAATACCCAAGGACAAGGTCAGAAATTATCCAGCGCTAGGGGCAAAAATGCCACAAAAATGAATATAAAGACTTTTTATGTTTTATGATATACTATTTTTAGTTCTATCAAATTGGTTTAGACCAGAGATGCCTAAATCATATGACAAATCACAAAAGAGGGGAAAATAATAATAATAATAATAATAAAAAATTGCAATTGAAGCATATATTTTTTATCTTTTTGTTTAAAAGTCAATTTCATTATTAATGTAAATTTTAATATAATATAGTTATTATAACACAATATTTACTTTCAGCCCACGGCCCTCAGTTAAGATTTTTGGTCCGTCATGGTAAACATTTTGGGCACCTCTGGTTTAGACATTTTATTGACCATCAAAAATGTATTCAACTGAAGCTTTTGACAGAAATCAAAAGTTGTAAACATGTATTACAGTATATGTTAAAAGAAGAGTAAAAACTAAAATTCTGACACTAACACAGAAATGTTATTCAATATTAAATATAAAATAAAAATCACTTTTAAATTAATAATTAGATTAATTTTAGATTAAAATTAATCATCTTAAAATTAATAAAAAAATGTAATAATGAAATATATCAAAATAATAAAAACTGCTTGAGCAGATCATATTTATATTTATTAACGTAAATATCAAATTTAAAAAGACACACCTTCTAGTCTTTTGGCCAGCGAGCGTGTGAACAGAATATTTGCCAGCTTGCTCTGACTGTAGGCTTTCTGTTTATCATAGTTCTTCTCACTGTTGATGTCCTCTAGGTTGATGGTCCCCCATTGGTGTGCCATGGATGAGACATTAATGATCCTCGCAGGCGTTGATCTTTTAATCAAATCCAATAACAGATATGTCAACAGGAAGTGACCTACAGGAAGAACAGCAGTGCTGATGTCTCCCGTAATTTCTTTTAGGGTTAAAAATGGTGTCAGATTTGGACAAATTACGTACGCTTACCCATGTGGTTCACTCCTATTTGCATTTCAAAACCATCTGCTGTCTTTTCATAAGGACAAACCATCACACCAGCGTTATTGATTAAAGGGGTCATAATGATGCTTTTTTAAAGATCATTATTTGGTGTATTTGGTGTAACAGAATATGTTGACATGCTTTAATGTTCAAAAAACACATTATTTTGAAATCGCATCATATGACCCCTTTAAGATGTTGACTTGTTTTTCCTCTGAAAGACAACCCAGATACATCATTGTAGCCCTATACAAGGAAGACATTTGTAAAGGAATTTATACCATATCCTGGTGATCTCACCTTTATTGATGTTCTCTGCAAATTCTCTGATTGATTTGGAATCTGCCAGGTCAAGCCTGCTGGTAACAACATCCTGGTTTCCTGAAGCATCCTTTACTTCCTTCAGGGCTGCATCAGCTTTCCCAGTATCTCTGCATGCCATAATAATACGTGCTCCTAAAGACAAGACAGCAGAAAGGCAGGAAGATGACATTTTTCCATCAGACATATTCAAATTAAACTGTATAGAAATGCCCACCTCTCTTTGCGAGGTCTATGGCTGTCTCTTTACCAATTCCAGCATTGGCTCCAGTAATTATAACAGTTTTACCGTCAAGTCTGGCATCAGATGACCACGAGCGAAACATATTTCTGAGGAGGAAAGGAAAAGAATAAATGTAACGTTAATGCAATTATTGTTGTCATATTACTCAACTAGGTTCCTATGGGAGTTGGTTTGATATGACAACTAGTTTCACGTGCTCAGTGGAAAAGTGTTCAAATATAATCCTTCGTTTTTGCCCAGCCAAGTCTGGTCTGTCTTCGATTCAAACCATCTGAAATATTTTCATCATATGAATGAAAATCCCTTTGCTTTACTTCCTCGGTACAATTGTAACAGGTTATTGAGCAACATTTTTCTGTCAACATCTATAAAACATCTGAAATATAACATACATATCTGTTCATACCTTAGAGCTTGCATTTTACGATGATTTGTATCCAGACACAAAAATTCTGAGTTCATAAACTATCAATAAGACAAAAACAGTCTGATCAAAACTCTCGCACTGTCACTAGTAGGAGGAGTCAAATGATGTATACGGAAGACTAGTGGAGTTGCAGTTTGTTATTGGTCAGAGACCACGAAACTCCGCCCTTTATTACGTATTTCTATTTTTCTTTCCAACTGTACATTCACATTTGATGTTAAAAGTATTTTAGACTTTTATATTTATTATATGCCAACATAAATATCATTAGTATCTGGAAAACGGAAAGAACCGGCATATTTTAGATTTAAAAATGACTAGTTGACGTGATTCTTACTTTAACCAAGAGATGTCAGTAGATGCATGGTAAAGAAATAAGCAGGCGTCTAAATATTTGTTTGAGGTTAGCATTTTTATACAAGGGGCTGAAATGTTGGTAATGCTTCTACTTTGCATTTTTTCGAATACATTTTTTTTCTCGATATATTGTACTTATACTAGGCCATCAGTAATTTAAAAAAATGGCAAAAAGTTGTTGTAGCTACTTTTGCTTTAATGACAGCAGCACTTATTGATAGCATAAACTGTACAATTTGATGGCAGTGTTCTACAACTTAATCTCCATTTAATTTTCACCATGTCCTGTGACAAATGAATTTTAAGTATGTAAAATTATACAAGATTACACAGTGAAACTCTCTAGAAAGGCTGCCTTGTCATGCCCTAATTTGTTTCACTAATTCGCTAAAACTGTCAAAAAGATGCCATTCTCTGCATCATATATTTTTAGCTTCTACACACTTCTATCTCGCTCTCTCTCTCCAACCCACCTACCCTTTGTCGCTCTTAAAGAAATAAGCTGGCGTCTAAATATCTGTTTGAGGTTAGCATTTTTATACAAGGGGCTGAAATGTTGGTAATGCTTCTACTTTGCATTTTTTCGAATACATTTTTTTTTCGATATATTGTACTTATACTAGGCCATCAGTAATTTTAAAAAATGGTAAAAAGTTGTTGTAGCTACTTTTGCTTTAATGACAGCAGCACTTATTGATAGCATAAACTGTACAATTTGATGGCAGTGTTCTACAACTTAATCTCCATTTAATTTTCACCATGTCCTGTGACAAATGAATTTTAAGTATGTAAAATTATACAAGATTACACAGTGAAACTCTCTAGAAAGGCTGCCTTGTCATGCCCTAATTTGTTTCACTAATTCGCTAAAACTGTCAAAAAGATGCCATCCTCTGCATCATATATTTTTAGCTTCTACACACTTCTATCTCGCTCTCTCTCTCCAACCCACCTACCCTTTGTCGCTCTTTCTCTGTGATGGTGAGATTTTAACTGTTAATGTTTCTCAGAAACTGCACCACATCTCTCAAAACACACTATGCTGCGCTAAACCACATTGGATGAAAAGTATATTAGCCTATGTCTAACATGTAGGCTATTAGACAGCACTACTGCAAAGTTCCTCGCATTGCAGTGATGCCCTTATTAGTAATTCAGTAAATGCAGTGAAATGCTGCACTGACTAATGACATCTTCCATATACATTTAACATTTATATAACTGCATTTATATATTTAACATACATTTAATTGTGCCTATATATAGTCGCACGGCTAACCTGTAGATGACAAGTGGAAAAGTATATTTCACTGTCTATGCATTGCATGTAGCTTAAAGGCAGGGTATGTGATTTTTCAAAAACACTTTAGAAAACTGATTCGGGCCGAATAGCAAAACAAACTTGTAGCCAATCAGCAATAAGGGGCGTGTCTACTTGTGATGTGGAGGAGAGAGCTTTCAGTGCATGGGACGGACATTAGCCGAGCCGAGCGACAGAAAGATAGAGATGGCGGATAAAAAAACAAAAGAGGAAAACGTCTGCGGAAAGATAAGGCAAGAAGTAGGACCCGTGTAAAATATTGGATCAGCTTTCCAGTGCTGGAGAGAACTCAAGGAGCGGAGGCCTGACGCCGAGGTTAAATAGGGGCAAGACCCTTTTGGGGTAGGGGCGTGTTTGTTTTGGTGATTTCAAATATTAACATTGTCTACCAGAAATCACTTACTCTGCCTTTAAATGGCAAATAAAAGACTGACTTATGCATATTGCATAATGCATGATGGTCGCATATGCCACCAGGGGACAGTATTACCGTTTACAATTTTTGCGTTTACTTCAACCTTATTCATGTAGAGATTTATTAGCTAACTACTTAATAATTCACGTACACCCAAATGTGTACTTGTGTACTATTAATGTTTATGACACCTTAAATGTCAACACACCTCAACACCGGTCAAAGCACACTTTGCTATCTCAAACAGGAAGTGCGTTGTCAGCCATCATATGATAGTGTGTACGTAAACATTTCCTTACAGTGCTTCCACCATTTGATACAGGACAGCCACAGAGAGAGGGCTATAATTCAATCACCTCTGATTAACAGTCAGTCACCTCAGAGATGACACATTAAAGGCCAAACTTGGGTTTTAGAACAAGCAAACAAACGTTGCAATGCCTTTTGCAGCACTTCTCGGTTTTTGATTTACAAGTGACGTTTTCTTAGAAAGCATCCAAAGCTGACATAAAAAAATAATTACCCTGTTGAAAAAAACAGCATATGCTGGTTAGGTATGTTTTGACGCTGGGATGCTAGTTTAAGCTGGTCCTTTGCTGGTTTAACTTCTCGTTTTTTGATTGACAAGTGACGTTTTCTTAGAAAGCATCCAAAGCTGACATAAAAAAATAATTACCCTGTTGAAAATAATTACCCTTTGCTGGTTTATGCTGGTCCTTTGCTGGTTTATGCTGGTCCTTTGCTGGTTTAAGCTGGTCCTTTGCTGGTTTATGCTGGTCCTTTGCTGGTTTAAGCTGGTCCTTTGCTGGTTTATGCTGGTCCTTTGCTGGTTTAAGCTGGTCCTTTGCTGGTTTATGCTGGTCATGTGCTGGCAAAGGACCAGCATAAACCAGCAAAAGGACCAGCATATGCTGGTTTTTTCAACAGGGTATGCTGTCACGATAGGCCTTTCGTTCACCTTCACTTTGGAGAATGCTTTACAATATGACAAATGACAAATATGGGTCTCATTAAACATATATGTGGAAGCTTAGACATGTTACATATATGAAAGATTAACTTGGACACTATTCTACGAAAGCAGAAATGGCGGGTGCCTCCGGAGAATCATTATAAAGGTAATAAATCAGGACTAACCAATGTGCCTTAAAACAACAATGCCCCGTCTGTCACCTCACTATGGTTTAACTGGAGAATGACTTAGGGAATATAAAAAATGGAGGAATATAAAAATAGCGTTGCTTTATTTTGACCATTACACTCCGGACCAGCTAATTAACGCGGTTCTATAGTTATGCACACTACTAAATATGGGACTTCTTTCTTTTGCTTGCTCTGTCAACACGATGTGTGTCAGTTCATAATGAGAAAGAACGTGGCTGCTGCAAGAGTTACAGGACCTGAGTGAAAAGATTGTTTTCAAGGAAATTAAAGTCTAAACAGACAATCTTTGAAAAAGAATACAAGCTTGTTTACTGAATACTGCACAGTATTCACTGACTAGTAGCCTACTATTTTCTTTTCAAATTAGTATGTGCAGCGATAAACATTGCAGTATTGCAATATTTTACATGAATTATAATTGTATTAAAAATGATATATTTGGTTTATTTGTCACACTAGGATTTAATAGCTAAGGTATTTTGGCTAATGTAAAAGGTCATTCACGTATTCTAAAATGACTGTGTACAGTAGGCTATACTTACTAGAGAAAAAGAGTTGGCTATGATAGTATGCTATTCCTCACAAAGCCATAGGATTCATCCAGAATCACACATTTCACTACTAGTAGCTATAATATAGTAGCCTTTGTGAAAAATGTAATATGTCTGAAGTTACAGTACTCATAAGATTATTTTATCAATACTAAGATTAGGCAATAAGTACCCATGCCTTAGGCTACTAATTCTGGCAATATTTCAGACGCAGCCATAAACCCCTAAAGAGGAGGCAAAAATGGATGGTTATAAATCTGTTGATATAAAGAAAGGCTAATTGCCTACTGCTTACATAGGCAGCTGCCTACCAAGGAACCTCATAAGTGACATTCAGAACACTCTAGGTAGCCAGTACCTCTTCATGCATGACATGAGCGTCAACAGAGTTTGACATTAGCATATTGTGAAGTTGGCAACACAATACCCTATTAACACAAAAAAGACAGCACACATAAGAATGGGGTTATTTATCACACTGAACATTTTCATTGATACTTTTAGGTGTTGATTTAAATGTTGGCTAAGCATACGGTATTTTATAATCAATATTCTTCTCTCTCATTTGTAATGTTGTAGCAGTTATTTCTGGGATTGGCTTCTCTGTAAAGTACATTGCCTAAGAATTTCCTTTGTCTTTATCTTCTTTTCTTTCGCGACTGTCTGGTGTCGACAGAAACATAATGAACCTGTCTCAGACTTTAGTGTGTTTCTGCATAATGTCGCCTGTGTTTCTCTATCCTCCTGAATCCCTTGATGATTGACATTCATTGCCATTTTTATTACACTGCCTCACCGTTTTTGAATAAAGGTGTTGACATTTTCTTGAGTATTTTTGTGTGTATAACAGAAACTGGTGGTTAGATTACTGTGTCCGATTGTCTTTTGAATTGTCCCTGTTTTGATCTCCTGAGAATTTCACGGAAATTAATCACCCCCTTGATCCACGGGAACACAGTGTGGGTATTTTAATTTTCAATTTAGTTAAAAGTGTCTGAATTACATAATCATTTATTCTTCAGTGATTTCCAGGCACCTGATTCACAGTTCTGTAAACATTTTAGAACACTGAATCATGTTGTTTTTGATGGGTATGATTTACTGGCTTTGCCAGCAGTCTCCTGAGGACTCCTTATTGCTCTTTTATTGCTCAGGAGGCTTAATTGAATTCTGAATTATGTTTCATTGGTAACAACCGTCATACCTTTGAAAAATAGACAAAAATGAGTATAAAGCTAAAATGTTGTGAAATATTATTACAATTTATAAGCAACTGTTTT